AGTGAGGAATGCAGCAAAATGATAGTTTGACTGATCCAAACTCAACCACATTTCTGGAGTTTAAGAACCTTAAGAAAAGCTCATAGAAATATAGTCTATATGAGTACCCTTTCTATGATATCCTTACTTTATGATGCCGTTGGATACAGGATCAGGATCCCTTCTACCTGCCTTGTGCTATTTCCCTATCAAATGATAACACAATAATGACTGATGGTCGAGTTGGATTCCAGCGACAAAGGAGAGCTGTTTAATAGGTTTCAAAAAAATTCATTTATGAAGCAAATATTGATATTTTATTTCATTGACACTGCTGCTGGATTAGACAATTTTGTAGGTTACTATCTGATTTGTCCAAGAAATTTGTCAAATTCTAGTGGGCTGCAACTATTTTCGATAACGATAACCTTATGCTCTGGAGGGTATCAGATCCTTTGTTTCCGTCCGGCGGCCAATGCTCGCCGCTATTGTCCAACTCGGCTTTTCCGAATATTTGTGATAAGCATTTTGTTACTTTGTTAATTTTCTTAGCAGACCATATATCTATCGAATGCCATTAGTCAATTCTCATTTTGGTAGCAGATAAAATCGTGATAAGGCTGAAAGCGGTGAAATGGGACAAAAATCAAACGCCTTTAGAGCGGAAGGCACATTACTTTTCTGCCTTGTCTACCTGTCCTCAAGTCCCAGGGAATGCAGAAGAAGCGCCATTCAGATGACAAAGAGGATGAGTACTAGTCCAATTCAGAAAGGAATGGATGGGACTAGGGGGTGCCGAGGAGTGGATATTATGGGGATGTTAATCTGGGGGGTTTTGGAGATCTTAATATCTCAAAAGGCAACTAAAACCTGTTCTTATGCGCATGACCACAAATGGAGCCGTGAGCGAACGAGAGAACGACATCAAGCAGACCATAACGATTACCTCCGTGGGCTTCGAGCTCTTGTCTCTCGAGTAAATGGACTAGCTGAACACAGTCACAAGCATACACTCCCTTATTTGGTCGTCGGCGCATATGACCGGAAAAAGAAGGCAGATGGTGCGCACTATGATGCCTCGCAGCCGAGTGATTGCTCACACGGAATTTGCAAGTTGGTGTTGAAGAGGGGGTGTGATAGAATCTGATGCATCTTGGACACCAGGGGCTGTGCCCCCAGCACCAGAACTCAGAGCTCTTGTGCGTCTCCGGGTTTTCAGCTTCAGTCATCAACCCGAATGAGGCCTAGCCTCACATAATTCACTCTAAGCACTCGCCACTCGGATGCCCATTTCTTCGTCCCACCTTGCCTCAGCCTTGTTTGACCGAACCTTCCTAAACTCACTTACTCTCTCATCCTTTTTCTCCCTTTCTCGCTCCATCTCTCTCTCCCTCTCCCTCTCCTTCTGCCTTTGTCTCTTTCTGTCTTTCCTTCTTTTCCAGACTTGAAAGTTTATCTTTTCTGATCTTTAAAATGGGAAAAATTATCCCGTCAACAAGGGAACGCTAGTAGAGAATAAATCTACACCAGGCAGTAAATAGTCAAACTCATAGGCTCAACCCACCGTGGCAAAGTATGTCCTGTTGAACCGGTTGATGGGCTCTTGTGTATTGTCATCTATTTTCGTGCTCCTATTTAAAAAGTTCCGCTTGTTTAGCTATCTGCTAGCATGTCAGTTAGTGTGTTGTGCTTGTGTTTGTTTGTATGCAGACATGTTTATATGCTATTTGCCAGAATTCATATTCATGTAAAGATTGTATCTAACTTTTTTGTCTGAATCAGTAGTGGCTTCAGGCTATTTAAAGGGCTATTAAAAAAATATTGTCATACATAAGAATAAGCATCTTTTTTAGCCTATCCTCCCTAACGGCTTTTCTGCTCAGCCAAGCTCATGAAAACGCATACAAACCCTATGCTAAAGGAAAGCACATCCAGAGGCACAAATGCATACTAGCTTGAGGTCATATAAATCTGATACCTGCCCGTAACCAAGCCCACACAGATCCCTCACACTTAGCCGAGGCTGCCAGAAGGCAAGTTTGACGCCCGAATAAATTAAATTAATTCAATTTAATTAGACCGCAGGGTGGATTATCGTTTCCGTTGTTCGTGACCATTATTTCCTCATTGAACGGGCACAAATCCGTGCTACTTGATTGGTGAAGTCACGAGTGACAATGTCCAAAAGGACTTGATTACATTCTGGCTTAAAATTCACCTTTTGCTTCGTTTCTTTTTTGTTTCGTATGCAAGGTTGTTGGCGTAACATCAAGCGTATGCGATTGGACATTCTATTTATGCTTACTGGACTACAATTAGGAGGGGAACTGAAAGTGAGAGGGAGGGTCTTCATCGAGTCAGCATCGCCTATGCTTTACAGGAAACTGGCTGGTGGCAAAAATCCCTTCCAGAGCGCTTAACTCTATTAAGGGCTATTATTATACACCTCGTATCCGACTTCTTCGGGAAGATGAGGAAAATATTCACACGCAAAAAAAGTTATTCCTATTAACTTTGAAGCAAATGTTTGAAAATTGTTAGTTAATGAGTTTTTAACGTTAATTGTGATCGGGAAGAAAGAGATTATGTATGGGAAGAAAATCCGGCAGCAGTCATCTTCTTAGACAAGTCACCAGGGTTACGGCATTTCAAGGCGACGAGGGTGAAATATTGTGCTGCCGACTTGTCTTTGTTACTTTCCGGAGGCAGTTGGTTGGCCAGGACACCAGCCATGTTCTAGTTTAAAGAAGCCTTGCAGACCCAAAATTTATCTATACTATTTATTTTTGGTGAAAATAGTCAGGTCGTACGCTTGCATCAGCGGCTTTCTCTCCGATCTAAAGGAACCCTTGCACTAGTCATTTTTTCATCTTCATGTTCTTCAGTTGAAGGAGGCTTCCTGCGACCACCTGCCCTGTCCTCAGAACGGCTCAACTCCAGATTCACAGCATGGCCGAGAAGACTTGGCAATATCGTTTTGTTGCCATGTCTTTTTTAATTTCAAAAGTAGTTGAGGCTATAGTGACAATCCCTCTTCCTGCTTGCCCCTTTCTTTCGCTTACACCCCAGCACAACTTTTCTTGCCCTCTCCTATCATGACACACTTCACTTTAGCTTCACTTCTGCCAGCTACATAATGGCTTGATGATGCAACATTTCCACCCCAAATATTCATCACAATTGAGTGCCTCTTCTTTGGCTCGCCACCAGTTGCATGGGTTCCCTGCAGCCAGAGTGCTATTCTCTCCACTCCTTCCCATCGCTTGGCCGGATAGTCTGCTCGTCTGTCTGTCTGGACACAGACTTTCGAGTGCGACCGTGTTGGTAGCTGTGGCTAGACTGTGTTTGCCAGAATTGTGTAATGGTGCCTACATGTATGTGAGGTGAACGCCTGTATGCGACCGTGCCTATGTGTGGGTGACAGGAGGTGCGATTGAGAGGCCAGGCGGACTCGCAGGAGAGCGTAATATGTATGCCCCGCGGCGGGCTATTCAGCCGAGGCAGGGCAATTCTTTTGACGTTGCGTCCGCCGCCTCTTGGGAGCAGTAGCCCGGCCGGGGCGGTCGGACGGTCGGTCGCCTATTCTGACAACAGTGGCCGAGCCGGGCATCCTCAGCCCGACGGGGCGAGGAAGCAGGCCGCTCGGCCGGGCCGTCTGGCGGGAGTGGGGCTGGGTGGCGGCCGGGTCGGGTGTGTCGCCTCGGCGAGCGACCACGAGGCCTGAGGAGGGGCGTTTGTGGTTGCCGCGCCGGCTGTACTGGGGTAGGCAATAGGCCGAGGACGAACGAGCAGTTCTAGGGCTGGCGGTTAATAAGGTGGACTTCATGAGTCGAGTGAAAGGGGCTACACGAGACGATCGCCCCGATCGGCATCACTTAGCCGCTTCCCCAACCCTGCCAAGACCTAAGGCAACTTAGTCGGACGGCTCACGAATTCCCCTTGCTTAACCGCAGACCCTTTCGGCTCAGGCAACGGAGACTGACCTGAAATAATTATATACTTCGAAGCATGTGAGCATCTTCTTATCATCGTAATTCATTTATATATAATATATATATATAGTGTGTATATATACATCTATACAGTCGTGATAAGGACTTTGTCGTCGTAGAGGCTACTTCTCCCATTGTGTTGCCAGCTTGCGTATGCATGTGTGCACATTTGTGTGGTTAACGGTCTCTTGGCTGTCATTACAGGACACTCAAAATGTTAAGTTTTTACTTATGGGAAGGCACACCTGCGACTTGTTACCCGAAAATATGGATTTCAGCCGTTTTATTTACCCTCCCCACAATTCC